TTACGCCTCGACGTTACGCCTATACGTTACGCCTCGACGTTACGCCTATACGTTACGCCTATACGTTACGCCTCGACGTTACGCCTCTACGTTACGCCTCTACGTTACGCCTCTACGTTACGCCTCTACGTTACGCCTCGACGTTACGCCTCTACGTTACGCCTTGACGTTACGCCTCGACGTTACGCCTCGACGTTACGCCTCGACGTTACGCCTCGACGTTACGCCTCGACGTTACGCCTCGACGTTACGCCTCGACGTTACTCCTTGATGTAAAACCTTTAGGTTATTCCTCGACATCACTCCTCGATGTTGGACTTTGGGACAGAGAGTAGAAATGTATTAGAAGATCTCAGTGTTCTCCTATATTCACGGACATCTACAAGATCAGTCAGATACAGTGGAGCAAGACCATTGAGAGCTTTAAAAGTGAATAATAAAATTTTTAATTTAATTCTAAAATCGACTTGAAGCCAGTGGAGAGAAAATAAAACAGGGTGATGTGCTCACGTCTGGAGGTGTTTGTTAAGAGTCGAGCTGCAGCATTTCGGACCACTTGAAGGCGTCTAATGGAGGATTGGGAGATTCCTGCATATAGGGGGAATTGCAGTAGTCGAGCCTTGAAGTTATAAAAGCATGAATGGCCTTTTCCAAGTCAGAACGATTTAAAAAAGGCTTAACTTTGGATAAAAGACGTAACTGATAAAAACAGGCCTCGACTACAGAGGATATTTGTTTATCAAACTTTAAGTCCTTGTCAAACGTCACCCCCAAGTTTTTAACTGTGGGCCTGAACTTGGATGTCAGAGCATCAAAGTTACAGGGAGCATCACCACCGAAGAAGAACTCCATCTTTCCTTCGTTTAAAAACAGAAAATTACGGTGAAGCCACTGTTTAATGTTGTCAATACAATCAGTAAAAGGTGTGAGAAGGTTAATGTTTTTAGGCTTCATTGGTAAATAAATTTGTAGATCATCAGCATAGCAGTGAAAAGAAACGTGATGTCTGGCTATCACTGAACCAAGAGGCAGCATGTACAGAGAGAAGAGGAGGACCAAGAACAGAACCCTGTGGCACACCACAAGAGAGAGGGGCAGTAGAGAAAGACAGATTACCCAGCATGACAGAGACCGTTCTGTTGGTCAAATAAGCAGTGAACCACTTGAGAGCTGTACCAGAAATTCCAACATAGCGTTGAAGACGAGACAACAGGACAGCGTGGTCCAATGTGTCAAACGCAGCTGTAAGGTCCAGCAGCACCAGAGCAACGGGACACTTGGCATCCATGGACATGGAAATGTCATTATGGACTTTTAACAGGGCTGATTCGGTAGAATGACGGGTTCTAAATCCAGACTGAAATATTTCATAAATACCATGGTTTTCTAAAACAGGTTGTAACGGCATAAAAACAAGTTTTTCTAAAACTTTGGCTAAAAAGGCAGATGAGGAATAGGTCTAAAATTTGACAAAATAGATGGGTCTAGGTGAGGTTTTTTAAGAAGAGACCTAACCACAGCATGTTTAAATGCAGCAAGGACAGTTCCTAAACGAAGGCAGGAGTTTAAAAATGTTAAAATACAGAAACCCACAGAATTAAAAACCTCTTTCAAGAACTTGGAGGGAAGAACGTCCAGAGGGTGATTAGTGAGCAACATCAGTGAGAGTGGCAAGAGACACTGGTTGAAAGAGTTCGAACACGACTGGAGCTACAGAACCAGTGACCGGTCTGACTGAGGCCACTTTATCCTGGAAGAATTTCAGAAAGTTAAGCCTCAAAGCTACACCTCTACGTTACTCCTCTACGTTACTCCTCTACGTTACTCCTCTACGTTACTCCTCTACATTACTCCTCTACGTTACTCCTCTACGTTAATCCTATGCGTTACTCTTCTACATTAATCCTATACGTTACTCCTCTACGTTACTCCTCTATGTTAATCCTCTACGTTAATCCTATGCGTTGCTCCTCTACGTTACTCCTCTACGTTACTCCTCTACGTTACTCCTCTACGTTACTCCTCTACGTTACTCCTCTACGTTAATCCTCTACGTGAATCATCTACGTTAATCCTCTATGTGAATCATCTACGTTACTCCTCTACGTTAATCCTCTACGTTACTCCTCTACGTTACTCCTCTACGTTACTCCTCTACCCTGATGCATGCTCAATAATCCAGGTAGAAAAATCCAAAAAAGTTCAATCTGGTCCTCTGGACATTCAAAAAAAACAAAAAACAAAACAAAACAAAAAAATGTAGAAACGTTTCGTCTCTCATCCGAGAGACTTCCTCAGTCTGAGGTGCTGTATTCAGCTCAGTCTCTTAAATAGCACCTTCTCAGAGTGGATCAACCAGTTTGCTGCTGACAACCAGAACCAGCTGATCACATGCTCAAGAAGGACCATCAGCCTAACAATGGATCATTAGCACCTGATGGCTGTTTACTGTTCACAGAGGGCTGAGTGATACTAGCAATCACAGCATTGTAAGAGGGGGACAGTTGAACCTGGAGGCTCCGCCCCTGTTTAATGATGGACGGTTTCTTTTCACAAAGATGGCCTCCTTTACTCCTCTCTCAAACCATTGTTCCTCTCTGTCCAGGATGTGAACATCTTCATCCTTGAAAGAGTGACCGCTGACCTGGAGATGAGTGTAGACCTCAGAGTCCTGGCCTGATGATGTTGATCTTCTGTGCTGGTCCATCCTTTTGGCCAGTGGCTGTTTAGTTTCCCCGATGTAAGACTGATCACCCTCCTGACACTGAACAACATACACAACATTACTCTGTTTGTGCCGGGGGACTGGATCTTTGGGATGAACCAGTCTTTGCCGTAATGTATTTTGGGGTTTAAAAGCCACTGGGACGTTATGTTTAGAAAATAAACGTCTCAGTTTCTCTGATACTCCCTCAACATATGGAATGACCACTGGTCTGGGTCTGGGTTCCTCCTTTTCACCTGATGGCTGACTGGAGTCCTGTTTGGGTTTCTTCT